TATACGACGTGTAAAACTACCAACCTCTCATCCGCACGGGGAGGAGGTGGTGGTGGAGGAGGAGGAGGAGGAAGAGCACCACAGGAGAGCCTCTGGAGACAGGTATATCTGGAAGAGCGAAAGAGGATGTTTGTGGTGTTGTTGTTGTTGTCTTCACATTAAAAAAAAAAAAACGTTCCGATCTCTCTCTCTGCCCAGTACCTTCACATGTCCGTACTGCTCCAACACTTGACGCGGTCGATTCCCGTGGTCACAGGCTACCTTACACTTAAAAAAGTGAGCGGTGAGCTGTTCGCAGGAGACGGACACGGCGAAATACGTTAGCAGCGTAAGCGGTGGGTCGCAGCGTCTTCGATGTACCCTTTGGGCGCTATTCTTGCGGGGGGTAGGGAGGTTGGTTGAACCGTTCTAGCGTCATTCCGGACAGTCACGCGCCACCCTCTGCACCGACGACGCTGATTGATGTCTCCGACGAACCACTTGGTGTGCATTTCTTCCTATACCCTTTGCGCTCATACACACACACGCCTCCGCTCCGTGCCATCGAGACATCGCTACACATTTCCAGCCTGATCGTTCTTCCTAATAGCACGCCCCACATGGCGCTTTTTTCAGCCGCTACAGTCCAGGCGGAGGCATTCGGTGCCAAATACCCCGCGTTTCGAAAGCGAGGTGTCTACAGTGCCCACAAAAACAGCCGGGGATCGGCCGGAGCTTTCAGGGCACACGGCTCCGACTCCAGCAAAAATTCGGATCGGTTTGCACCGCCCGAACAAAAAGGGAAAAACCCTAGGCCTTGACTCTCACCATGGGTGCTGCGGTGAAGTTCTCGACTTCGCGATTGAGAGGTCCGCTGAAGATCGCCGCGACGGAAGGCAGGGGCAACACCGATGGGTGCACGATCCAGAGCTCGGACGCTGAGAAAACACGGGGTATAAAAAAAAGAATGTGAGGCTCAAGCCACAAAGCAGCAGCAGCAGCAAAAATACTACTACTAGCCCTTTATCTGCGGATAGAGATGGATTCGTTGTGTCATGTAGCAGAGAAAAACAAAATCTTCATCCGATTCTCCAAGTGGGGTTTAGATACTCATCCAAAAATACGGCGAATTCTCCCGACGCACACATGTACACCCCGGTAGGGGGGATCTCGCTTCCTTGAGAAGGGCTGGGACAAAACGGCAGCCATGGGTGCGGCACGTATGGTAATATCTACACGCGTCAGGGAATCCGAAATAACGCCGTTGCCGAGGGCAAGCATTCTCCCAACCACACCAAACTACAGGTGCTGTCATACTTCAGGCGGTCGTGGGCTATCCTAGCATGAACCACGCCCTCACCGCCACCTCCTAGGCCCAGGTCGGGTGACACCTTATTCTCAATATTTTCCGAAAACAGGCGCTAACGAGCCCCAAACTCAAGTGCCCAACTGCAAACAATAGACAGATACACGTGAGCAAAGAAACGGTGCGAACGTGCCAAAATATCCACAGAGGGCTGGCTGGATCGCCCATCCAACAAGAATGATAGTAAGAAAAAACTCACTTTTCTGAGGAAGGGCGTCAATCCAGCCATGCAACGTAGCAGACACCCAAGAACTCACTTTCTTGAGGAAGAACCTTAACGGCGTCGAAGTGGAGATGTGGCGTAGGCGAGTACCCCGTGTTCCCGCTCAGTGCGATCACCTCTCCGGTGGCGACTTCCTGAACACGAACATGAACATGAAACACACTATATCAACCACCCACGAACAAGTTCAAAGAGCCCCCCCCCTGCAGGAGAGATATCGCTATCTGTTGCCCGGGGTTGTTGTTGTTGTTGTTGTTGTTTTGCTGACGTTAAGAAAACGTTCCGGTCTCCGTTCAGTACCTTCCAATGTCCGTACTCTGGCCCAATTGACACGAACCACTTCCTAGGCCACAAGCCAAGCCTACTACCCCAACAAAAAAAGGGGGTACACCTTTCTAGAAATAATGAAAAAAAATGAACCGGAGGAGAGTCCTTCAAGATGGGCACCGTAGAAGTAGGAGCAAGTTGGTCGCCGTACAATACTGCATATTCATTGCTATTAATAATAATCTACCACGGACTCTTTTTAGTGGAAGAGATGGATCTGTTGTGCTCTTTGTAAGAAAAACTAAAAATCTATGAGCAGAAAAACACCTTGGTACGAGACGCACACCCTCCGCACTATGTAGAGGTTAATCCGCAAGACGCCAGTTATTTAGCACCAAACCCATGGATGCATCGGTGTGTTTGCACACGCGCCGCCATCGAGCTAAATCCGTAACACGTCAGTTAGCACCAAACCCATGGATGCATCGGTGTTTCGCACACCCGCCGCAATCGAGCTAAAAATCTGAACCATGCCAGTTAGCCCCAAACCCATGGACGCATCGGTGTTTTTGCAAACCCGCCGCAATCGAGCTAAAAATCTGAACCATGCCAGTTAGCCCCAAACCCATGGATGCATCGGTGTTTTTTGCACACCCGCCGCAATCGAGCTAAATCCGCACCACGCAAGTAAGCACCAAACCCATGGGTGCATCGGTGCTCTTTGCATTGTGTTGGATACTCGCTTCCGTCAAGAGCGGCGGCGGCATCAGCGGTCCGGTCTGGCAAATCGGTCAGCACGTTCGGGAGGCAATACACGGTGGTGGCCCGGATGTAAACGTTAACCTCCCCTCTTCCCCACTCTCCATCGTTGCTCCCTGAAGCTCAAAACACGAAACGAATCAAGCTCGGCTTCTCTTGCCGTCCTGAGTATGCATAGGGCTGGGTAAATATAACCGTGTCGTTCTTTTTCAGGCGCACAGCAGGTGCAGAATACCAAGCGAAAGAACAACGCGACGACGTTGGCGCCACTTTCGCCTGCACTATCGTTGGTACCTGTCGACTTCAAGCGCTGCGGAGCCCCTTCACAACTGTAGTGTTGTACTGGTTCAGGTGTGGGAGTTGCTCCTTCTAAGCCCGTGATTGCGCAAATGTTTTCTGTATCTGAAAAACGCCCAAGGGGGACCCGCAGAATATATCGACCAGCTCGCTTCGAGTCTCGGCACATTCGGGGTCTGTTTTTGTTTGTCCTTGACACGATTTTTCCACGGTTTCAATCGGCTTTTACGAATACCTCCGAGGATAATGACGGCGATGGGCATGATGTGGTATTAGTGCACAAAAATCTGATAGCGGTTTGTTCGTTCGTGCGTTCTGCCCATTTGTTATCCGTACGTGGAATGGGTCGTGAGGTCAAATGACGTGGGACCTCACGATACCCAGATCGAGTCAGGGAGAAAAAGAAAAACTCGTTTGGTGTGACGTTGCTGTTGGTTGCTGGGGGGCGGGGTTTAGACTCGGGAAAAATCATGTTCGGGTGGGTCGTCTCTCGAGGCGACCACGTGTGCAGTGCCGGCCCACTCGAAAGAAACATGTTCGCAAGAAACCGAGTCTTAGGTATTGGACAACCCTTACAAAAATTCCCTGAGAAATTGAGCATTTGGGCCCGACGCTACACTAGTTCATAAACATATAGAAGCCTTTTGGTGAGGAAGTAAGGCTTGAGCCTCGCTCACAATGGGTGTTTTCTAATGAGCGGGCCGGGCCGGCACTGTATGCTCTAGCCATCCGCCTGTTCACCTGTCCTACTTGCACCAACACCCCGCCGCGCATGAGGTGCACGTAGCGAGTGTACGTGCCGTCCCGGTGCCGCAGGGCCACGAAATTCGCCCGCGGCCGCAGGCCTTGCCGCAGCCCGCCCTCGCCGAAGTGGTCACAGTACGCCGCTACCACGCCGGCGCGAGAGGCCAACACCTGCATGTGCAGCACGTAGCGAGCAAGAGAGAGGCCAAGGCCGGGGTGGACGTCGGGACCCAGTTGTGACAGTTGCCTGTAAACCTTGTGAGACGTGTGACCAAATTAGCGAGAAATCAACGCGGCAACTGGGCAAGCATAGAGCTGACGGGTGGAGGTCGGGAACCAGTTGTAACAGTTGCCTGTAAACCTTGTGAGAGGTGTGACTAAATTAGCGATAATTCAACACGGCACCTGGGTAAGCACAGAGTTGAGAGGGGGGGAAGAGGTCGGGAACCAGTTGAAGCACCAGCCTGTACACCTTGTGAGAGGGGTGGAGAGGGGGGTCTGCACGGCGCGGTTTCGAGCACACGTGGCATCTAGAACCAAGCGCACGGTGAAGGGTGAATGAAGCCTTGATTCTTAGCTCCAGCCCGACATGGGGTGTCGGGTAGAGGGCCACCGCATGGGCCGTGTGCGGGACGGCGGGGGTAAAAGCCGACGCAAAGCACGTGACACACGACCCCCTTACGAGAACCTCCCTCAGGTGTAGGCACTTTATTTAACCTCGGGTGTTCGGCACTTTTTTAGAAAGTATACACAATCTCACAGAAAGACTATGTACCCGTTCGAGACAGTCGAAGGGGATGCGTGGAAGTCTTTGCAGTGAGTAGGAAGAAACCGGCTGGATACTGGGCACTTTTACTACCAATAAAAAAAAGAACGCGACCCGCACTTCGGCTGCTGTTACTTGGTGGGCCGCAGACACGCCCCCCCCCCCCCCCCCCCCCCCCCCC